GTTTTGAGTGAGTGAGAGAGAGAGAGAGAGAGAGAGAGAGCGTGGGATCAATTACCCGTCTCCAAGAGTAGATATAGGCCAAATCGATCATGGTGTAATCATCGATGAGCGGGTCGTGTTTGTAGAGTATCTCCACATCGATGTGATCATTGAGATCGTACTTCTTCCGGAGCCACTTCTTCAGGTGCACGACACGCATACCTCCCTTGCACTGCAGATACCGCCGCTGGCTATCGTCATCATCAGCGGCAGCGGTAGTTCCAGCGGTGGCCGCATCACCGCTACCACAACCACTGCCGGTCGCTTTGTTAGCGGCCGTATCGGCGCTGCCATTACTGGCCACGATGTCCAGCCCTTTGACACAATTGAGGGCACCGTTACTCAGATTCATGGAGAAAGGCTGCAACGAGTGTGAGATGTATTGCGGGAAGTACTCGATGGACAGGGATATGTCGTCTTCGGGCGTGAATATCAACCGTTCGCCAGACATCTCACCCTTTTCTTCGTTGGACAAACCGACCGCTGGTTTCGGGAAACAAACATTAATATAAAAAATACTACACAAAACCGTGTGATGTCTTAAGAATTATCATTTAATTTCGTACCACTTTGGCTCTCATGCGAGTAGAACTCCTTACGTCTGGTCATCTCGTCTGCGAATGGAAGTGATAAAGTGATTGTTAATTATGGTCTCAAAACACACTCATGAAGAATGTGGTCATACTTTTGTAGAGTCCGGGCACCAGTTTGTAGACAATGTCTTGCAGTGTCGGATCGCTCCTAATGTTGAGCTTAGGTTTGGTTTTGTGGATCTGTTGGTCACAGCGCGGACAGAAGCGGCTCTTCGGCGTATTCGAGTCCAAGTGACTGATGATACATGTCTTGCAAACTGGGCGTCAAAATGCAAAATACAATTAAAATCTACATTAAATGATCACTAATTATCGTAAAACAGGTTATAAAATCTTTGTTTTGAATTTGATTTTATGCCACAAAACACAACTGCTTTGTAAAGAGTTAGTACACTATTGGCTGTTAACTAATGTTTACTGTAATTAAGTTTTAGTAAAATAAGCCCCGAATTAACTGATCCATAGATCATAGAGCGGTTCCCAACAGGAGATTAAGTCAATGTAAATAATACAATCAAATCCACGGCTAAAGACATACATGAGTGGAGACACTCGATAACAGTAGTGGCGTCGATGAGATAGCCCTCGCATATCGAGCACTGGATCAGTTCGTTGAACTCTTTGATGACAATCGGCTCCCGTGGCGGCCGCATAAGCAACTGATGGCCACTAGTCTTCGGGCCGTTTGTATTGCCATTGGCTTTAAATGTGGGACCAGTTATCGTATCGTTGGCCGAGTCGTTGACCACCACCGCCGCCGCCGTCGTCGCGACTCTATTGTTGATTGTCTTCATCTGTTGGCCGCAACTCTTGTCCTGAGGTTTGGTGGCAATGGATGTACAGTTGACACTAGTCTTCGCCATATGATCTGCACTCATGGAACCAGTCTTGAGCTGCGATACCAACGGCTGTTGACACTTGATGTCGGCCGCTATGGTGGCCGCCAAAGACGTCATCGGCTGCTTCGGAGGGGGCAATGATTAGCAGATGATAATGAGATCTTAACCACCGATTAATCGTCTATTAATCGCTGAAGAGGTAGTAATGTTGCCATCGATGCGGACATATGTAGGTCTATGTCTTCCCTCCCACTGTCTCGCAGACAAAGACTGTTGTTTTTGGATCAAAGCCACGGATCAGCTGCTCAGACAAAGAGATGGATAGCGTTAACAATCAATTTAATTGATAATAATTACAAACAATTAAAACTTTTAATCAAAGTTTTAATGTATTTCACAATACTTTTGGTTTAAAACAAAACGAGTTTTTGTTTTGTTTTGTAAACTTTTAATTATTTTTAAATCATTTTAAATACAATTAAAACACCGTTTAATCACTTACTTATCGCTCACATGATTGGCATCGAAATTAAACTCATAATTAAAACTAAATTAAAACTACAAAAAACTTTTTTTATAATAATTTTTTGTTTACAAAAAAAATAAACAAAAAAAGTAACAATGATTTCAATGCAATGCTTTTCGCCACCGATTTTCACATGAATTACATTAAAATCTATTAATTAAACACACATTTAATTACAAAATACTAATAATAATAATTACTTTTAATTATAAACACAATTAATAACTGAATTAATAAAAACCATTGCATTGTTTGCCAATCAATACAATACTACACAACAGACACAGACATAGCGTTCAATGCATTCATTCAATGCATTCAATACAAGCAGTGAATGTCTGTGTGTTTTCTCTACCAATGCATCAACACATTCACCGATACACTGCACTTACGGTATTGTATACACTGGTTATAAT